CCCCTGGCCAGTCGCGTCTGGGCTGCTGCCCAGCTGGTGCTATCCCGCGGCGGCCCCGGAGTGGGGGCAGCAGGCCCCAGCCCCCCCTTGTGTTAGCCAGAGAGGGGCTGCTGGAGAGTGACTCCCAAGCTCTCTCCTACACTGAGTTTGCTGTGGGTTTTTTTTTCACATAGTCCCAGACTCTGCTGGCCTAAGGAGCATGAGCTTGATCTCTGGATCTAAACTCAGTTTTCTTGGTTCTCCAGGTTGTACCATTGCTAGACCTCCCTTCTGCACCTCCAGTTTTAATGCCATTGGGTATAAAAAGGAGATGCAGTTTCCGACTTTTACAGTTTTATCATGAGACATATGCTCTCTGGTATTTTTCTTAAAGCTTTGGGCGCTGAAGTCGTATGGAAACACTAGGATTTCTGCTTTCATTAAAAAAAATGTTTCTAGCCCTCATAGTTGCAGAGATAAGGTTGGAAACATGAACCCTAAAAGTTGAAAAGCCATCATGCAAATAAAAAGACCCCAAAATTTATTATTTGTAAACCTTACGAATTTTAAGCCAGTCTCAGGAGTTTTTGGGGCCTCGCTCATGATATTCAAATATTAGGGGTTGCCAATACTGGAAATGAAATGCACAAAGTTATGTGGTATGTATTGTACATTAGTGACACAGATGAGCCAAAGCAAGGACATTTTAAGTTGCCCTGAAGTTGATTCCTTAGCCCTAGAGCATGAAGGACATGAGTATCTCCTAGCACTGGAACTAGCCTTCCCTACCAGGCCCTGCAGGCCTACAACCAACTACAAGCTATTCATTTGCTTCCTCTCATTTGCCAGCCCTGCCTGCCTGGTGTCACACTGCTAGTTGGCTCCATGCCAGTTTTCCCATGTGTGTGGCCTCACTCCTGATATGGCCCCCTAAACCCTTAGTTGCAGCCTGACGAAGGAGTCAAGAAGAGGTAGGCAAGGGGGGAAGTGAGACAGGAATACAGACAGGGAGAAGACGATGGGAGAGGTAACTGGTAGAGGAGACAGGGTAAATCAGGACTGAATATTTTGCATGCTTCAGAAAAGCTCCAGGCAGACAGATTTCCTGCCCCAAAAGTTGTGATTTGTTCCACCTCTCAGCAGCCTGAAATCCCCTCTCCCTTTCCTGCATTGTCCACTTCCAAACAGTAAGAAACTGGCCAGTCCAAAGAGTTAAAAACCTGAGACCAAATACATCCCCAGTAAAGTCAATGGAGTTACACCAGGGAGGAATTTGGTCCCTAGGGATTAGCTAGTAACCTAAAGATTAGTACATCTTTGGAGCCACTATATTTTATGTGGTCATTGAATGATGCAGCACGTACCATAATATGTCACAGTACGTGTGCACAATGGACAGTTTAACAATGGCGTGTCCCCCATAATGTGAATTTCCTGAGTTGTATTTGTATGTTTCACAGATCATCATATAAAATTCATAGGGGTATGTGTGTGTTGTGTATGTGTGTGGGGAGGTATGCTGAGTGAGGAAAATGATCCAAGGGGTAAACATCTTCTCATATTAAAATAAATTCTTCATCTTCCTTTCAGAGTTTATTTTTAACAAAATATCTTTGGCTGCACCGCAGCATTTTTTCGCTAGTTGGAGATGGTTATCTTATCAGAAAGTTTCCCCACTGAACATATTCACATAGTTAACCCTGCTCTCCCTTGTGAGCTGGCTTCAAGCAGGCTTTTTTTCCGCTCCATGCACAGACTACAATAAAATGTTATTGTGATGTATCAGTAGCTTACTGGGAAGTGAGACAACTGATTATGTGATTTATTTATTGTAATTAAGTAATGTAGAAAGAACCTATAAGCCTAAACTTGTTTGAATCCATATTCATAAGCTAAGCATTCAATTCATGCCCCAGAATCATTTGTCAATCTGGCCCTTTTTTTTTTAATGTTGCCTAGAGACTCTCTTTTTCCTTTTGCTATTAAGTTACCTGAAACTGACACTAAGCCCTGGATCTCCTCCAAGCTGTAATAAAATAAAAGGAAATGTACTCCATGCAGTTGGACCAGCCATTACTTTGCCTACAGTCTTAATAAAGGCCATCTTTAGATCAGGTTGGACTTGTAAAAGCAGCAGGTTATTCATTGTTTAAACAAAGCTACAACTTTTTGTTTGTGACGTTTTTAAATTTGTGGCAGTGTTCTCACTGACGATGGGAGCCATCATGTTTTGGCTGTTTTGTTTATTGAGTTTGCCTATGCAGCTTTACTTCTTCCTCAGGTGTTTTCAAAGGCAGACTGTGAAAGAAGAAATCAAGCTGTTTTCAAAGCATCAGAGCCGTGAAACCAAAATGTACTGGATGGGAATGAGCCATTCACTTTTATTTGGGGGAAAATACCAGAGAAAATATTTGCACTTGGAAATATTTGCGTTCCGGAGTGGGTATGAACTTTTCCTTCATTTGAGTTTAAAAAGGGAAATAACAATTAACTAGCACTCTCCACATCTTCAAAGTGCTGGGTAATCATTAACTAATTAATTTGCTATTGGGTTCACCCTCTAGCAGTTCTGTGAGAGAAGAAGGTTTCAACATTTTTCATGACATGGAAGCTGTTTCCAAGGCCTTAACCACCTACTTAGGAACATAGGAATTGTCATACCAGACCAGAACAGTGATTCATCTAGTAAAGTATACTGCCTCCAATCAATGCTTCAGTTGCATGGAGTAACCTTCCCATTGGGGAAGTTTCTTACTAACCCCAAGAATTTACTTAGATTGTAAGTTCCTTGAGGTAGGGACTCCCTTTTTGTACTGTGTTTGTACAGGATCTAGCACAATGAGACTGTGGTCCATGACTAGGGCTCCTAGGCGTTACGGCAATACAATAAATAATGATTAATAGTTGGTTTATTCCTTTCCAGTTACTGAAGGCCACCAGTAGTCACTCAGCGCTAGAGGTGTTCACTTCTTCTGTTGCTCGATTTACCAGTGCGGTTTAATCTGCTCAATCACAGTAAAATAAACCTGATGGATTCCTGAAACAAAGAATATCTAGACCAGGTTAAAACATCAGTTTGTACTTATTAACTACTGGTGGCTTTTGGGTGGAGGAATTGTGATTCTCGATGGAAGAGTGGGTGGTCTAGTAGATGATTGGGTTGTTAATTACTTGTTTTATGGAATTGTCACGAAATAAAACTTATGTTGGACAGTCTTCCAACATTCTTGTTTTACAGTTCTTTAAGGTCTTTCACTTACTCCTCACATTCCTGAAACTAATTATTTTACTTACACACTCAATTCCTTTTATGCTGATATTTTCTAATTTAGTTTATTAGGGTTACAATCTTAGCAAACTTCCTTATTTTCGTTCTTCTTGATTGTACTGACAAACCTATCAATGTATGATTGTACTTTGAACCTTCTTCTTAAACACATATCCCAGTGTCTTCCTTAGGAGCAGCAGCTGCTCCCATTTTTCTGTAGTGTTCTCATTTTAAAGTCTGTCAAATGATAATCCAGTTGAGTGTAATTAAAACTGAACAATGTTCCTCTCTTGTCGTTTTAATGTAGACTTTTATAACCCACTTGCTGGGAAAAGCTATTTTCCTAATTAAAAAAATCTTATTTTAAAGTCAGCTCTTACTTTCCTTCTCTCCTAGCCCCCAAAACTGTACATCATTTCTGCATCTTACTAATTAAAACTTTCCTGTTCCCTGTAGCCATCTGCGGACCTGTCCTCAGTTGAACTGTAGATTGGCTTCTGAGGAATACTGTGTTAAACACTGTTTATGTGGGTTAGGGATTAGTAATGTAGTAAAATAGTTGATATCTGAAAGACTAAGACATTTGTTCCCAGTTTATAGGCAGTAAGGGATTGGCTATCACATATGTTCACTCGAGTCACTTGTCGTGAGTAGGGTTGCCACCCATCCGGTTTAAAACCTGGCAGACCAGATTTCTGCTTGTGTGTCCAGGTGCCATTGGACAAGCCACAATGTCTGTTTTTTTTAATCTGTGGCAACCCTAAGCAGAAGAAAGGAGGCAGTGTAGCAACAGTAGCCATCCCTGCCTCCAGTGCTAGGCTGCTTGTGTGGCTTGCGACAGCACGTGGCATGCAGAGGTGGGGCCTTGAGGGAAGAGGCGAAGAAGGGGGCAGTGCCTGGGGGAAGAGGTGGAGAAGGGGTGAGGTCTCAAGGGAAGAGGTGGGACAGGGATGGGGCCTCAGGGACGGGGTCCAGTTACAGCCATTAGAAAGGTGGCAACGCTAGATGTGACATATCTGTCATTCTTTCAAAGGGGAGCTGCTGACATAATCATCAGTCTTCTAATGCTTATTTCTATTGCAAGGCTTTACCACTGTCTTTATAATGATTTATAGCACATTTGCAATATAGTGTGTTTTTGGAAGGGTGTTTAAGGGGATGAATTAGTAGTGGAATTGAAAGTTCTCAATGGTTGTCCAGTGGAAAAGACAGAAGCAAAAAACTGATTAAGTTCTACTGTAGAATTGTAATGTAGAGCTGGATCAGAGTTTGCAAGAAGCAGAGCTTCTTAACATTTTTTTGTACTGTATTATTTTATTGTATTATTGTGACAAGGTGGTGTCTCAAGGATGGTGCCAATAAATCCAAATGCAGCAGAAAGCAGCCACGGAAGGAGGCAGTTGCAACACACACGCAAAATAAGGGAAGTCCTGTTATAAAATGAACATGTAAAGGTTTGTAGTAGTTTGCAGCTTTAAACAGTAGGCTTCCCAGACAGAGGTGTGGACAGACCAATATGAAGAAAAGAAATGCCTGGGGTAAGTTTTGATGAGTATTAACCAGTGATCTACACAAATCAGTATTTTCTCTTCTTTCACAGCATGGCCGTACCCCTCTACATCTTGCTGCCTACAGGGGGCATCTTCGTGTTGTGCAGATTTTGCTGAAGGCAGGCTGTGACCTGGACATTCAGGATGATGTAAGTAGATGCAACCATTCTTATACCAAGGGGCCTGCTCCTCCAATCAATGATTCAGTTTCTGAACATAGCTAGAGTTTTGCTTCTTAAAGGTGGGGGTGAAATTAGAACAGAATCAGTCTCCCACCTATTCTAATTTTGAAGCATAACAATTAAAACTGTATCAGAGTCATAGTAAAATTTAGTGTTTTAGATGAGTAGCTTGGTCCTTATTTTCAAGCTGTAGCAGAGCATTAAAAGATGCCTTTCTACTCTAGGCCTGAGTGAGTAGTAATAGAGGATGTTGCCTGCAATTTGATACATGCATGGAAATACGAGCACATTTGTGCCATACAGGCGCCCCATTGAAACACTTTACATGATATAATCTGCCAGGAATGTTTGCAACAGAGAGGACTTCAAAATGCAGAAGCTGTTCTGCAGAGAGCATAGAAAAATGAGCAACTGGCCTGAAGTACTGTACAGTACCACAGCAAATTGGCTACCAGTGTAATGCTTGCAGTATGAGTTATTCCCTGTCTCTCATAACATGGGATGATAAATGAATAGGGTAAGTTATTTGTGATCATCCTTACAATTAGCAAATGATAGTTTTCAAAAAGTAAAAAGTAAATCATTGGTATTTCTCAGTTTTTCTATAAAAACAATGATAATGCTAGAGCTGAATGCTAGGGAAAACGTTGCTTAGATGAGGAGACATTGGAATTATTTGCATAATCAATTTAGGTCTCTCACTCTGACAAACAAGGAGTTAGGCTGAATTGTTTTTAACAGATTGAAATAAACTTGTCCAGATTCATTGCTGACTCCTGTTAACAGACTGTAATTTTGCCTCTGATTTTTTCTGTGGTGCTCCAACTTGGGATAGGAGTAATGACCCTGCTCTCAAGAGTCTTAACATTGTTACTTGTGTCTCTGACCCAAGAGGTCTGTTCTACAAATGCTGCAGCGCTTTGATGAAGATGCTGGAAGCCAACAGGAGAGAGCTCTCCTATCAGCTTCGTTACTCCTCCTCCATGAGAGGTGGTAGCTACATCGGTGGGGGAATCTCTCCCGCTGACATAACCCGGTCTACATGGCAGGGCGAGGGGGGGGGGCAGAATTTAACATCAGTATAACTACATTGCTCAGGGGGGGTGGATTTTTCATACCCCTGCTCAATGTGGTTATACTGAAGTAAGTGTGTAGCGTAGACCTGACCTAAGCGATGTCCGCATAGTTGCACTATTTAGGATCTCTCGCAGGGAGTGGTCAGCAAGGCCATGTGCTATGGTGCTTAGAATGCAGGACTAGGCATTAGGGGCCAGATTTTTAAAGGTGTTAGGTGCCTGAATATGCAGATAGGCACCTAGTGTGATTTTTTTCAAAAGCACCTAGGTGCCTAACTCCCATTGGGTGCTTTTGAAACTCCCGCCACACATCTATCTGAATCTTTAGGTGTCTAAATATCTTGAAAAATCTCACCATTAGACAGCTGGGTTCTATTTCCAGCTGTCACTGACATTGAAACTTAGGGTAGTCTCTGGCAGGCTTGTAACCTTTATTTTTCTGCAACCACTCTTGTACTAAGGTTCTTGAGTCAGTAATTCCATTTCCTAGCCTCTCATTGCTACAGTTTGCGTCTCTGTAAAATAGGGCTAAGACCTGCTATACAGATGTATCGGGGGGCTTGATTAATTCATATTAGTCAAGTGTTTTCAGATCCTCCCCATGAAAGGTGATGTGCACAGTTAGTGCAGAGTATTGTTGTTCTAAAGAAATTACAGAAAATATATAAGTACAGTCAGCTTTCCTGTAAGTAAGGTAACTACTCTGGGAATCCAAGTTATGCCAATTATTTACCAGGTGGGATTTTATGGGGGGGAGGGGAAAGAAAATGAACTATTTTCTCAGTGGGACTGGCATTTTTTGAATGCTGTTATCACAAAATCTGTGCTATTTGTACATCTAACTTTGCATTCTGAAGAAACTGATAAAAGTAGGCATGTTGGGAAAATGGTGAATCTGAATTTATCATTACATCAGCCAAAGAGTGAGTCTTACTCCTCTGCAGATTAATCTATTCAGTTCATTCACTTTTCCTGTAACTTTCACCAAGTCCTGGTTCACCACAGTGTGATGCTGTACGAAGCACTGTAACTAATTTTAACAACAAACTAGAAATGTGGTTATGTTGTAAAACCTTTGTTCATAGAATTGAATTCCATTTTTGGGTCCCCTTGTATTATACTGGATATCTCCTCTGAATATAATGAGAGCTCTAAGAATTGTTGTGCATTCTGAGTGGTGCTGTTTGGATTTGTTTCTTAGAGAAAAGAGGGAAGGAGAATAAAACTCCCAACTTGGGGATTGTCACAGGACTGCCTGAGATGAAATGTGTTAGCTAAAATGTGTCTGCTTTGCTTTCAGATAGTAAAAAAGCTGCCTGCCTATAAATTCCCTTAGTACAATCCATTTTTGCACACTTTTTACTTGCATCACACAGAGACGTTTCTATTGCTTTTTAGTCACTGTTACTGTGTGTCAGAAACTGAGGAAGAAACCCTTTGTTCTGTTGGCACTGATGGATTTCAGCATCTAATATTGTCAATTAACAACCATTTCATTAATATTATTCATAAATATACAGTTAGATTTTAAAATAACGCATGGGGGAAATCAGATAATTTATTAAAAAATATTTTTAAATGTCTAATTTTCCATTTTTATGCAGAATTATAGCAATTACATGTGCAAATTATCCTCCCGCAACTTTAAAAATCTGATCCGTGTTCTGTTTCATTTTTTAAAAAGATAGGGGGGCTCCAATAACAAAATTTTAATTTTGAGCTGAATATCTCTAGCTAATTCATAAATGCAAGAACTAACTTTTCATCTGCCGTATGGCGAATAGAAGTGGATAATTCTAAATGTTGTGGAGAGATTAAAATACTAACTTCATGTTCTGCAGATGAAGTACTTTAAAACACTAAGAGACATGAGAATTAGTTGAAGAATGACCTCCAGTGGCCTGGAGTGGGATTATTATGAATTTCAACCTGTGGAAACCAGCTCTGTAGAGTATGCAACTCCAGGAACTAATTCTTTCCTTCTCCCTGCCAATCCTGCAAACTCTTACTGGAATGCTAATACAATCTCTGATTGGTCAATGAGTATTCATACAGCACATACTTCAGAAATAGTCAAGGAGAAAGTTGCCCTGGTGAAAGGAATCAAGGAAGAAAAAGATGAGAAAAACCAGAGGAGAAAGGCTAGAAAGGAACCTAGAAGATCAGAAAGAGAGAAGGAGGTTAGAAATCTTGTGCATCAATCTTGCCTTGAGCTTCCCTCTGACATGGCTGCATGTAAAATCTTGGATTGGCAGTTTGGCATGTTAGAGTTCCTAAAACGGTGCATGGTTGCATGGCTGGGTTTCATTCTTGATGCTTTGCATAAAAATTATCTACCCCTCATTTGGCGTCACACTGAAAGCTTTCTGACTATCTCAGTGGAAAGTATGTCATTATAAAAAATCTAAGTTGAAGAAACTAACACAAATGGGCCATAACCCAAAGTTTAAAAATATTTCAACCAAAATGTAAATATGCAAAGTGCCTTCTGTAGTTCCAATAACTGACTTTTTAATTTCCTTTAGTTATGTTTATACTTTCTTGCCTTGATCATTTCTGCTGGCCTTTTATCACTATTGTCCAAGAGTAAAATGCTTATTATTGTGATTTCATGATGATTCTCTCTGTTTAGCAAGGGAGAAGAGAATAGCAAGTTCACAACAATGCTTGGAAGCCCTGAATGGCTGATTCAACTACTTTAGAATATTGAAATACTCATATGCTATTAGGAGTCCTGTGGTCTTACTGATATCATTTTTCGTATTTTAAAAATTACGATTTTAATTAGTAATATGCTAAAGAAACATTACTGTTCACACTTTGATTTCAAAGGTTAAAACTTTCCAAACTTAGCAGTTTTGTCTCAGGACTGAAGATGATTATCTTGCTATTGATTTTTTTTTAATTCAGCACTCCCATGGCAGGATAATTTGTTCACAACAAATAATTTGACCCACTTGGGCAGTGAATGGTGTAAACAGCAAGATAGAATGGTGGGAGGAGGCAACAAGTGAGATTGGAAGGAGTATCCAATCTTTCATACTTAAAGGAGATGATAGCATTGATGGAGGCAGTAAAGAAGAGAATGTGACTGTTGGGGTGCTGGTAGATAAGGGAAGAAGTGAAGTGCCTTGATTAGATCATGCTGAAGCACAAGTGGGATTTACAAACTAGGTGCTCCCTTGCCTATCTTGCCTTCAGGGTCCAGTCTGGTAGCTGTGCTCTGAGCAAGGGTGGCTGCCTTTAGCTCAGTGGTTATGGCACTCCTCCAGGATATGGGAGATTCTGGTTTAAATCCCCCCTTTGCCTTCCTGGAGCAGGGTCTTGAACTTGTGTCTTGAGTTTCCCACCTCCCAGGGCTTGCTCAGTTTCTCCTTTTGGGAATGTTCCATTGCATAAAAATACTTTAAATATTCCTTGTGGGTGGGGGAGAGAGAGAAAATTGACCGGTGGTTTGGGCTCTCCCCTGGGAGGTGCACGTGCAAGTCCCCTTCTCCAGTGAACATTTAATTATTTATACAAAGTGGAACAGCTTCAACAGGAAAGGCTGAGAGACACTTGCCCCAGGATAACCTGTTTCCCAGTGATTAGGGCACTCTTCTTGTAGAGGGGAGACTCAAGTTCAAGAGTAGGGATTTGAACCTGGTTCTCCAGAATCCCCTGGTTCTCCAACATCCTGGCTGAGAGTTTTAGGCAGTGGACAAAAGGTTGCTAGGAGTGCACCACCTCCTCCTCACTTTTTCATGAAAAAACACTAACCTGGCTTGGGAACACCCAGGAGTGGGTTCATGGCTGGGAATCCTGAGTGGAAATAGGTACCTCCCCCTGGTTTAACTCCCCTTGAGGAATGGGGCTTAGGCCACACCCCTCTCCCCGGCATTTCCTGCTGGCTGGCTTATGTAGCTCCCTCTCAGCATGCTGGCAGTTCTGAATCCCATTCTTAGGTGCCTAACTCTCCTCTTGCATTGTATAGGGAGCCTGGGTCCCAAACTCAAGGTTATGAATTCCACTAGGAGACAAGGCAGGGATGATGGATTCTTCCTAAATGAGGCCCAACCCCCTCCATGGCCCTGCCCCTGAGGCCTCGCCCACCAGCTAAGCTGGAGTCCGGCTAGGGAGCCCAGGCCCCTCCACCTGCCCTGCGTGAAAGGCCCTGAGAGCAGCCCCCAGCCCATGTTCCCACCCCAAGACCCACATCCAGGGCACATGGAGGGTCCGCACCTCCCCACAGCTGCCCACGTGGCTCTTAGCATAACCTGGCTCCGGCTTCTGGCCTGGCCGGGGGCAGGGCCTCGGGCTGAAGAGCCACAGCCAGGCCATGGTAAGAGTCACCTGGGCAGCTTTGGGGAGCTGCGGACACCTTCACCTGCCCTGGGCAGGGGCCCAAGGAGTGGGAACATGGGCCGGGGGCTGCTCTCGGGCCTCCACGCCCCGGGCAGGTGGAGGGTCCACAGCTGCCCAGGCTCCCCAGGCCTCTGACCCAAGCCAGGCTCCAGCTTCCGGCCTGGCCGGGGGCAAGGCCTCAGGGGCAAGAGGAGGGGCAGGGGGCCGGTCCCCTGGCAAAAAGTGGACAGGCCAGATCCCTCCACTTTGACAAGGTGCCTAAACATTAGGCCATGTCTACACTACAGCAGCACAGACATGGTGCTGCAGTTGTGCTACTGTAGCACTGTAATGTAGATGCTGCCTACCTTGACGGAAGGGTTTCTCCATCGCCGTAGTTAATTCACCTCTCTGAGAGGCAGTAGCTAGGTTAACAGAAGAATTCTTCCTCTGATCTACCTGCACCTGTGGGTGTAGGTTGACCTATGTCGCAGAGAGTGTGAAATTTTTCACAGCCCTGAACGATGTAAATAGGTCAATCTAATTTTTAGGTGTAGACCAGGCCTTAGGTGTTGCAATGCTCAGTCCCCTGGTGAATCTAGCTCCTAAGTGTTTCAGTTCAGGCAAATCTCTCCATCATAGTAGTAAAGGTCACCTCTGTATAACAGCACTACTGTTCTTTTTTTCATTTTTACTGATCTTGTTGTCTGCAAACTCCCTTGTAAGCAAGTCACTTACAAACAAGGCCATAAAGTGTTTGCGTCAGATTTATACACTTAATTGTCTGCAAAATCAATATGCACTATAGGTATTGTTTTTCTCACAATCTCCAGAACAGTATCCTGTGACGCATTCTACAATGCGCACTGTTAAAAGCAGGGCTCGGGCAAGTGCTGTTTGGTGACATAGCTATTTTTTAATAAAAGGAAGAGATAGGCAATGTGAAAAATGTAAATGCAGAAAGAGAAATGAGAGTCAGTGATTACACTGCTTTGAAAGCTCAGACTCTGCACTTGCAGAGAGAAGCTGATGCACAAAATAAAGCAACCAAACAAAAATTTGCAGTTGACCATATAAAGGCATCCTGATATTAGCTCTGTCCTAAAAGACAAAATAGTTTCACTAGAATTCTACAAATGGGGGGAGAGACAGGTTAAAACAATATATGTAGTCAGTATAATATATCTCTCTGAGGTGCTCAATAACTCAAGGCGAAGTCTCATATAATATCAGGGGTCCTGCAAATGACTGAGAAACTTTGAGTAAAATTAGTTTCTTTGTGCCTTTGAGCGGAATATGATTAGGGTCATAGTTTAATTCAAAACTGAGCAGATGTGGCACTTACATTTCTGTGTTCCAACCTTCAATGCCTTGCTCAGTGAGTACTCTGTGTTTGGAGAACGCTCTCACTACAGTACCTGGAGACAACCTAAGCAAGCTGGCCCATGTTGCCTGGTGGCAGAGTGGGGTGCTTGGAGAATGGCTTGATCTCAAGCAGGCTCAGCTGCTGTAGCTGTGAAAAGTGAGGTTATCTGCTTTTCAGCTATTTGGTTTATTTTTAATTAAAGTGAAATGTTCACAGGAGTAGCTATCTCCCAAAAGCCAATAAATTAAATGACTGTTTAATTAACTGCAATTACTTTAATTGGGTCAGGATAGAAAGAAGAAAAAATAATGTAACAACAAAAATGAATTGAGTTAGCACTATGAGAAGATCCTTATTTAAAGCTACACTGGGTCCATTCCATTCTTGTCTCCCATTTGAACTCTGTCACACAGAATGTTTCAGACCTTTAAGGTGGAGTAACCATACATAGTCACCACAGTTCTCACAGCTTCCTACACCACAGGCAAATGCTGTTTCACTGTATACTTTATCATGTCTTTCACAGTTTTGCCCTTGTAAACATGTCATAGCAATAGTAAATGGTGGATTTCTTTCTATTTTACTGCTAGGATAAACTGGTCTGTGCATAATTCATACTACTCAAATTAATAATATGGTGCATTAGCAATATCAGTGGCAGCCTAGAATGCTGTGACATTGTTGAATCCTCTCAGACTGCAAGGCCAGAAGGGACCATCATGATCATCTAGCCTGACCACCTGCACATTGCAGGCCACAGAACCTCATCCACCCATTCCTGAAATAGACCCATAACTTCTGGCTGAGTTACTGAAGTCCTCAAATCTTGATTTAAAGACTTCAAGTTACAGAGAATTCACCATTTACTCTAGTTCAAACCAGGGCCGGCTCTAGGCACCAGCAAAACAAGCTGGTGCTTGGGGCGGCACATTTTTAGGGGCGGCATGGCTGGCGCCAGAATGCCGCCCCTAAAAGTGTGCCCCGGCCGCGCTAGCTCACCTCCGCTGCTGCTGCCACAGCGCGCGAAACAGCTGTTTCAGGCGCCACTGCAGCTCGGGGTCTCCCCCTCCCTCCCAGGCTCTCAAACCTGGGAGGGAGGGGGAGATCCCGAGCGGCTGCGGCACGCGAAATGGCTGTTTCGCGTGCCGCTGCTCCCCCTCCCTCCCAGACTTGAGAGCCTGGGAGGGAGGAGGCAGGGCTGGGGATTTGGGGAAGGGGCGGAGCCGGCCCTGGTTCAAACCAGCAAGTGACCTGTGCCCCATGCTGCAGAGGAAGGCAACCCTCCGCCCCCAGAGTCTTTGCCAATCTGACCTGGAGAAAATTCCAATCACAAATATGGCAGTCAGTTAGACTCTGAGCATGTGGTTGCTGCATAATAATAGTTGTCAATAAATACATGACCCATACAGTTGTAATGAGATATAGTCTTTTAGAGTTATTTCAGTTTAGGGGGGTTGATTACTTTTTTTTATTTTGGCTTTAATTTAAGGAAAATATGGAAGAGTTCAGACATATTTAAAATACTCAGTGTTGCCAACTCTTGCGATACTTGGTGTTTTTCTTAAGGCCTCAGATTCTGGAGCCATGTAAATATATGAGAATCTTAGCTTTTGTTTTAAAAAAAATTCTAGCTTTCATGGTAGTGGAGAAAAGCTTGAAAACATGAGCCCTGAAGGCACAAAACACAGAAAAGAAATACAATTAACCCAAAATATATTATTTTAAAAATCAGCCTCATGATTTTAAAGCAATTTCATCTTTTATTGGGAGCATTTTTGAATGCTTGGGGTTGGCAATACTGCTGTAGAAATTAATAACGTCTTCAATCTCAGTAGAAAAAAACAGCCCCCTTAAGAGCAATTTATAACTCATTTGCCAGTTGTCTAGCACTCTCTGTATAGGAGCAAACTATTCAATTACCCCAATTATATTCAGTTATCTGGATCTAAATTCTTGCAGTCAAGTATGACAAAAACATGGTAATCTTCAGTTTTAATGTTTTATTAAAGTCTGTCATTATCTGCTTATTGATTGTATCAGACAAGTCATTTTTGTGATTATTACTTCTTGCTGTCTCTAGACTTCCCCCGTCTGTATACATTCCACATTTCTTCTATTCATGTGTTTTGGCAAACACCATGTAGGTGAGCTGGACTGTACAGGATTCCCAGTTTGGGAAGCAAAAGGCTCTGATTGGTAATCAGAAGCGGGTCTCCTGTGTGGTACTGTGGAAGTCGTCTCTCTCTCACTGTGTGCTGAGATCATGGAATTTGTTTTAGCACCACAGACTCAAAATAGCTGCAGAGAATGAACAAACAAACATAAAGATAAGATCGTGGAAGACCAATGTGATGAGATACAACTAAGAGACCTTAATTCTATGCCCTTTTTTCCCCTACAGATATTGTGGGTCCTTGGAAGTATGGAGCCAAAATTAATATGTTAAAATGGCTATTAGTGCTGTGATAATTTTAAAACTAGGTGCTAAGTAACCCCCGTATTGCATCTGGGATAGTCTTCTGGTGAGAAGTTATAACAATGAGCTGTGGGTGTTTTCAGGAATTAAAGGTAGTAAACTGTTGGTCTGCAATAGTAAACCATATAATGGTTCCATTACTCTTGGAAACCTTAATGATTGTAGTTTATTGGTATTGCTTTCAACAATAACCAGTATTTGAATGATGTGTGATGTAAATATAGTTTCAGTATATGGGACGTGTGTATGATATCTGTATAAAGTGTGTGTGTGTGTATATATTTATATGGAGTCAAAATTAGGTGGGACAGGCACTGATTAAAATAAATTGCTTCTTTTTACAGGGTGATCAGACAGCCTTGCACCGGGCTACTGTTGTAGGAAATACAGATGTAATAGCAACTCTCATTCAAGAGGGGTGCGCTTTAGACAGACAAGACAAGGTAATGAGAAGACCTGTTGGATAATAATTGCACTAGACTGTAATATTAGCCTGCTTTGGAATATGCTGTTTAGAATTTATACTCTGGAGTAAACAATTTAATAGCAATTATGCAGATAAGAAACCCCACTTCCCTTTGGAACTACACTCCTGTTTTACTCACATTTGACATACTGGTAAGTTGATCATCTCTGAGCCAGGAGTCTGACTTTCTCCTCATGATGGCAATATGAGGAAGACCACAGGCTTCAAAGGAAACAGTGGGAATCAGCCAGCTAGTGAGGCAGCATGTAGTGCTACTAAGAAAACTTAATCCAGTGGAGGCTGAGCAGTGCTATTTGTTAAGCAAAGCTATGAACTGAATGTCTGAAGGAACCGTGTTGATCCCTCCTCAGAGGCATCGTTACTCATTGGCTCATTAGGCAGGGAATCATTTCTTTGTCATCTGCAACTGGAAGTGATTTAGCTGATATAGTCAGAGGTGCTGCTACCCAACTAAGGAATATATATGTGTCCAGATAGGGCAATAAAAAGTGATGGGCTTGTTGCTTGGTAACATAATGTACCCCTACCCAGTCAAGTTGACTCCCAATATATTTCTGGACTGATCAGATAGAGCATCAAATTAAATAGTACTCTGGGTGCAACAATACATACGGTAGTGCTGCAATATTGATTCTCTAGGAAGTGCTTTGGACTGTAGAGAAAACATGAGCTAAGTAAGTCTATACGTGAAAGCTCATATTCTACTTCAGATTTTATTTAATCTGCATTTTAGATAAAGCTACTAATAAAAGCAAATATCTACGACATACACACACTCACACTTTCTCTGCGTAGGTCTACAGCCTGGAACTCAGCTTCTCATTTTAGAGGGAGACACCCAAAACTATAAAGCAAAAGCCTTCCATGGGGATTGCTTTATTAGCCACCTGTATGAAGTTTCGGGAGTCTTCTCCCCAGCCCTTGAACTTCCTTGGTGTCTGCAGACCCAGCACCAAAATGAAAGCAAAAAGTATGATAGGACCCTTACCCCTCTCCGGGATGGTATTTGAATACCCTTTTCACCCCCAGATCTTATTTTTTACCTTCAGTCCTGTAGCACAAATGTATGTGCACTGGTGAGAATTCACTGCATTTCTCAGCTATGCAGTGTAAAAACCCATTGCCATGTATATATGGGGAAGGAAAGCAAGCCACAATAGGGAAAGAATGGGTTAAAGAATATTTAGATAAATTATATGTATTCAAGTCAGCAGGCCTGGTGAAATTCATCCTAAGGTACTTAAGGAAATAGCTGAGGCAATCTCAGAACCATTAGCGATTATCTTTGAGAACTCATGGAGGACATCTGAGGTCCCAGAGGACTGGAGAAGAGGAAACATAGTAGCTATGTTCCCCTAGCACAGGGGTGAGCAAACTACGGCCCGCTGGACCGTCCTGCCCGGCCCACGAGCTCCTGGCCCGGGAGGCTAGCCCCTGGCCCCTCCCCTGCTGTCTCTTCTCCCCCGCAGCCTCAGCTCACTCTGCCTCAGGCGCGATGCTCTGGGCGGCGGGGCTGTGAGCTCCTGCGGCAGCGCAGCTGCAGAGCCTGGCCTGACCCGGTCTCGTTGTGGCGGTGGCGTGGCCCGTCTCTAGCTGGGTGGCGCAGCTGCAGCGCCACCAGCTACTGGCGCTCCAGGCAGCGCAGTAAGGGGGCAGGGAGCAGTGAGGGTTGGATAGAGGGCAGGGGAGTTCAGGGTGGTGGTCAGGGGACAGGGGTGTGGATGGTGGTCGGGGGGGGGAAACAGGGTTGAATGGGGGCAGGGTCCTGGGGGGCAGTCAGGAAGGAAGGGAGGTTGGATGGGGCAGCAGGGGGCTGTCATGGGCATCAGTTCCAGGGGCGGTAGGGGACAGGGAGAAGGGGTGGTTGGATGGGGAAGGGTTCCCAGGGGGGCCATCAGGAATGAGATGAGGGATTGGATGGGGCGGTGGGGATCCGGGGATAGTCAGGGGACAGGGAGCAAGGGTGTGTTTATGGGGAAGGGGTCCCAGAGGGGCTGTCAGGGAACAAGGGGGCAGATAGGAGGTGGGGGCTGGGCCACGACCCCCTCCCCTAACCGGCCCTCCATACAATTTACGAAACCCGATGCAGCCCTCAGGCCAAAAAAGTTTGCCCGTCCCTGCCATACCATTAAAAAAGGGAACAAAGAGGACCCAAGAAATTACAGACCAGTCAGCCTAACTTTGATACCTGGAAAGATACTGGGAAAAAATTGTTAATCAATTTGAAAGCACCTAGAGGATAATAGGGTTTAAGGAACAGTTATCAATGGTTTCCTGTCAAACTGGGAGAGTGTATCTATTGGGGTCCCGCAGGGGACTGTTCTGGGTCTGGTACTAAGCAATATTTTCATTAATGACTTGGATAATGAAGTAGAGAGTGTGCTTATAAAATTTGCAGATGACACCAAGCTGGGAGGGGTAGAAAGCATTTTGGAGCAGAGGATTAGAATTGAAAACAACCTTGACAAATTGGAGAAGATGAAATTAAATAAAGACAAGTGCAAAGTACTACATGTAGGAATGAAAAACCACTACAAAATGGGGAATAACTGGGTAGGCAGCAGTACTGCTTGAAAATGACCTAGGGGTTATAGTGGAACACAAATTCAATATGAGTCAACAGTATGATGCAGTTGCGCAAAAAAAAAGGCTAAAATCATTCTGGGGTGTATTAACAGGAGTGTCGTATGTAAGACGTGGGAGATAATAGTTCTACTCTACTCAGCACTTGTGAGACCTCACGTGGAGTACTGTGTGCCATACTTTAAGAAAGATGTGGACAAACTGGAGAGAATCTAGAGAACAAGAAAAATTATAAAAGGTTTAGAAAACCTGACCTATGAGGAAAGGTTAAAAAAAAATTAGGGCATGTTTAGTCTTGAGAAAAGACTGAGGGTGGAGACCTAATAAGTCTTCAGATATTTTGAGAGCTGGTATAGAAATGATGGTGATCAATTGTTCTTTATCTGCACGGAAGGGAGGACAAGAGGTAATGGAGATTTAGGTTAGATATTAGGAAAAGCTTTCTAACAGGCTTCCAAGGGAGGTTGTGTAATTTCCATCATTGGAGGCTTTTAAGAACAGATTGCACAACCTGTCAGGGATGATCTAGGTTTACTTGGTCCTGTCTCAGTGCAGTGGGTTGCACTAGATAGCCTCTCAAGGTCCCTTCCAGCCCTCCATTTCTATGATTCTATATAAACACCACCACAGTCATCAGTTAAATCATACTGTATGGAACTTCATAGAGAATCCCCATCACCTTTTGTTCCAAATACAGGTCACTACAGGATAGTGATTAGCTGTCACTATCTTTAGGGCTTATAGTCTTTCTGTGACAGCAACTGGAAGACAAGTCAATCACAAACACATGAACAGGTCTAATTCTAACCATTGAAAAGCAATGGAGCACATACTGCACACACATCAGTATAATGTTATGCTTGGTTAGAAACTCAGGGGTTGATGAAGTAGAGGCAGGGAGGGTTGAAAGTAGGAGGATGCCCATGGAAGTTGTTTAAGCCTCAGTCTAGCATACATATGCCTAACCCCAAACAGAATTAGATAGCAAGAAAAGGGAAACGATTTTTAATGCCCAAACAGGGTTACAGCACCTACATTCTGAATGTAACATTCCTGTATGTGTGGACACAACACCCTAAACTGCTGCTCTTGTGTGTGTGCTCTTCAGGATGGGAATACAGCGCTTCATGAAGCATGTTGGCATGGATTCAGTCAGTCTGCCAAACTGCTCGTTAAAGCAGGAGCTAATGTTCTTGCCAGAAACAAGGTGAGATGCATGTAGAAAGAGCTTTCAGTTCTGATGTAAAATGGCTGTTTCTCATTGGTGGTGATTTCTGGTAATGGCATTTCCTAACAGGTGGTGGTCCAGTTCCTAGTGGGATTTCTCATTCTCTTTGAATTAATTATGCCTGGATGATTCCACCAGAAACTTTAGGAAATTTTGTTTTTTGACAGCTGACACAGGAGGCGCTCAGTAATGCTTTGAATGATACATTAATTATGACTGAAGAACACTGGAATTCTTATGGAAACTTCTACTGTGTCCTAATTTATATTGAGTGGATTCATTGTAATGGGCATGATTAAAATGAATATTAATTGAACTAATAGGGAAATAGCATTAAAATCCAATTGATCATAAATTAGTCAAATGAACACAAACCACAAAAGAAGGAAAACAGTATATCTTTTGTTATGTTTCCATTAATGTACCAGGATTTAGTCTTGTTAAAAATTTGTGAGGAACTCTTAAGTGTCTCTCTCTTTGTATTACAATATCTTATGCTCAATTCAGGAGAACTGAATATATGACCCACCAGAATTGCAAACAAGATTTTATAACACAAACATAGGGTACCAAGTGAGGACTGTAAAATTATATTCTAAATTGGAGCAGTACACCATGGCATAAACAATTTTACTAAAATCAAAATGAAATACCCTTGGGAGATTTTTTTCCCCATCCACTAGTCAAAAGGTTAATGGAATAATCTGAAAAACAGCAGGGGGCAATATACGTTAAATTAGGGTTTGGAATGTTCAGCCAGTTGGGCAGTCAGATTGCATGGACATCACTAGGTGTTGTTACAGGCAACAGGAATTTAGAGCTACTATACTTATTTTATCTTGTCATTTTCCTTTAAAAAATGCTCCATACAATTTCAGTAAACATGTCTATAAACCTATGAAATGAGCCAACAGTTCAAAAGAACTAATCTGTAAAACTAAACTATACACTGAATATTAACAGAAAAGAAAAGAGAAGAAAGGACACATGGGTATAAAAATGAGTATGAGTAAAACTATATACTATATTGACATAGGACAGGAACAGCCCCCATATGCAATCAGACTGTTTATGGTTACTTTGTAATCTGTAAACAAAATAACTTTATGATGCTGTTTCACTTGATTTATAGCATCCCTTCTTTTATATTAGGCTTTGAGTTTGATTTCCAGATGCTGATATTTATGTATATTAGACATTCTTTAGATAACTCACGTAGTTACAAATATCAGGCAATAGAACTTTTTCCAACATCCAGAACCATGAAAGTGTGAGTGAATGTGTGTGTTAATATAAGAATTGCTACTCTGTTTACTTGGGTGCCATGTGCATTAGAAGATTTTAACTAAAAGGATGAATGCTGCATAAAAGCTATGAATGATGCATAAACTGTAATGACAGGTTTCAGAGTAGCAGCCATGTTAGTCTGTATCCGCAAAAAGAACAGGAGTACTTGTGGCACCTTAGAGACTAATAAATTTATTAGAGCATAAGCTTTCGTGGACAAAGAAGTGGGCTGTAGTCCACGAAAGCTTATGCTCTAATAAATTTGTTAGTCTCTAAGGTGCCACAAATACTCCTGTTCTTTTTGCATAAACTGTAAGACATTCTGAGACAGACCTCTCTTAAAAAGTGTATGAATACAGTAGGTTGGCAAAGGCACGCTGTTAGAACCCAACGCGTAGCATGTCAGTGTTCAAACATGCACACGCCCTGCTTCTGCTTCCAGTGGCAATAAAGAAGTTTCCTAACTTTACTTAACAATTCAATCCTATTTTCACTTCATCAAAGCTGGCTTCTTTGGATGCTTCTCAACTTCTTATGCTCCTGAAGATTCAACATAGTGGTTCTAACAGCATGACAAAATACAAAGTATAGCAGTAGTCAGGGCTTAGGCTCTGACAAGGTCCTGTTATAAACATTCATACTAGGAAAAATCAATTGCCTGGCAGCCAGGACAACCTGACAAGTGATAATTACTTATTGCCAGTCTACAAGCTGCTGACCTACACCTGAGAATCCAGGGTGTCTTGACTGAATGACACACTACCCTGTGGAGGAGAATGGATTTGGCCTCTAGACTCAATTAATTTATACAAGCCACTAAACAGCAGAAGAAATGGATTATTTGCCTACCCAGACTGTTACTTTATTTAATTCCTTCTCATGATTAGTTTCAGTTCATGTTGCATTTCAGGATAAGAGCATGTGGCTAATCATATATGCGCTCTCCCTATGGTATAGGATTGAGCACAAGTGCCATCCACTGATATTTATAAAGAGACAATGATTAGAGCAGGAGTCGGCAACCTTTCAGAAGTGGTGTGACGAGTCTTCGTTTATTCACTCTAATTTAAGGTTTCGTGTGCCAGTAATACATTTAAACGTTTTTAGAAGGTCTCTTTCTATAAGTCTAAAATATATAATTAAACTATTGTTGTATGTAAAGTAAATAAGGTTTCTAAAATGTTTAAGAAGCTTCATTGAAAATTAAATTAAAATGCAGAGCCCCCCGGACTCGTGGGCAGGGCCTGGGCAGTGTGAGTGCCACTGAAAATCAGCTTGCGTGCCACCTTTGGCACACGTGCCATAGGTTGCCTACCCCTGGATTAGAGGCTAGCTTTCATTTCCAGCCTTAAGTGGGATGCACTAGTCAGTCCACCCAAGATTTTAAGTGCAGGTCAGGTTCAGATCAACAGCTTGCATTTGAGGGGAGGGACAATAATATACATACAACACAAGTAATTTCTGAAAATACTCCTTTCTTGATCCAAGATGTTAGGACAGACATATTTTCTTGTCTGGCAACCAAATTTGAGAGTCCGGTTGCTGTCTTCAAACAAGTTGGCTTAACAAAAAATCCTTAGTCTGATAAACATTATTCTGTGAGATCAGTACTAGCGTTTTTACATCCGTGAACAGTCTGTACCTTTCAGTTCATATTTAGGAGGCTGGGAAATCAGGGGTGTCTTTTTCCAAATCAGTACAACTTGAGTCCAGTCCCTGTCACTGAAGTCAATGGGAGTTTTGCCATTCAGTAGGAGCAGGAGCCAGTTTCACTGTATGAGCTCTAAGCTCCCTGTGCTCCCTCTGCAATTTTTGTGAATTTCTACCAAAGTGCTGCAGCCTCATTTCTCTGCCTCACTGCTTGAATTTACACTTCTAACAGCTAATAATGAAAGAACTGTACAGGCTCTTCAGAGAATAACCCAAGGGGAAAAAAATCTCTACATTTAACTTTGTTCAGAGAAAAAAAAAATCTGTAATGCCTGCTACAGTTGAGAGACTTGTATTCAGAACTGCAGTACATAGTAACGTCGAATCAAAGACTTAAGACTCCTCTAAGAGTTCTGTGACAAAGTTCCTCCTCTATCTTGGTGGGTCCTGCGCTTATTGGCAGATTTTCTTGCCTCAGAGATTCACCATGTGGGTTGGGGAACAGCCCAGAGACCTTCCCCTCTGGAAGAACCCACAGTCCAGGTCAATTGGGAGGTTTGGGGGGAACCCAGGCACGCCCTCTACTCCGAGTTGCAGCCCAGGGCCCTGTGGACTGCAGCTGTCTATAGTGGCTCCTGTAACAGCTGCATGACAGCTACAACTCCCTGGGCTACTTCCCCATGGCCTCCTCCAAACACCTTCCTTATTCTCACCACGGGACCTTCCTCCTGGTGTCTGATAACACTTGTGCTCCTCAGTCCTCCAGCAGCACACCCTCACCCTCTCCCTCTCCCTCCTTGCGCCTCTTGCTCCCAGCTCCTCACACTCACACCACAAACTGAGGTGAGCTCCTTTTTAAAACCCAGGTGCCCTGATTAGCCTGCCTTAATTGGCTCCAGGGGTCCTAATTTGCCTGCCTGCCTTAACTGGTTCTAGCAGGTTCCTGATTACTCTAGTGCAGCCCCTGCTCTGGTCACTCAGAGAACAGAAAACTACTCATCCAGTGACTAGTATATTTGCTAGGGTTACCATTCGTCCGGATTCCCCCGGACATGTCCGGCTTTTTGAGCTAAAAATAGCGTCCGGGGGGAATTTGTAAATGTCCGGACTTCCCCCCCC